AGAGCAGTGTTGTGGGGTTGGTTTGTTGTGGTTTGTTTTGGCTTTTTTTTTCTTTTCTGTTTGGATTTCTTTTTAAACTTGTGAAAAATGGCAACAGCGGCATATGTGGATCATTTTGCAGCAGAGTGCCTTGTTTCTATGTCCAGTCGTGCAATTATCCATAGTCCCAAAGGGGAGCCTGATCCCCAACCTGATGCAGCGATACCTCCTCCTTCATCAAATGGAGAAGATAAGCGGGAAGTCAGAGAAACCGGGAAAGACAATGGATCATCATTACTTGTGGTAGCTAGCATTTTAGCAGACCTGAACCAGCATGTCCCAAACTCACCCACTCTAAGGATGGAAAAAACAGAGACCTTTGATATCACAGAACAAATACACATTTCTATTGCTCCTAAGGAGTCTGGGGAAGAAAGTGTGTCTTCGGCTGGAGGAAGAGCAGCCACACCTACTAGCCTGGCTGCCGTAACTGAGCCAAGCCCTAGACAAAAGAACAAACGCACGAGAAGCTGGACTGACCCTGGATCACCCCAGAAAAAGCACAAATGCCACTACGTGGGGTGTGAAAAAGTTTATGGCAAATCTTCCCATCTTAAAGCTCATCTAAGGACCCACACAGGTTAGTCACAATCCAGCCAGAGATTTATTTGTTATAGCTTGGTAATTAATGTTGAAAAAAACAAAACCGAACAAACTTGTATTTGGCCTCCATTACGGTTTCGCCTCTCAGAACTCAGGCTCAGGAAAACCAAACAACAACAACAAAAAAACCCCCTCTGGGAATAAACCCTTACTGGGCATAGGTTCAAAGCTAATGTCACCCTTTTTTATTACTTAATGTCACAGGGAATGGCGTGTGGGTTGTCTGCGTGGATTGTACCAAGCTGTAATTTTTAGCTACCAGCCTTCTTGTTTGGTGCATCTTCTTCCCTTTCCAGCGCTTCTTACCCTCCCCCATCTACTTTTTCCTACCCCATGCACCTTTCACCTTTATCACTTCCCAGGCAAGCACCAATACTCTCCATATTTTAAAATTAAATGTTCTAGAGGCACCTGAATGACTGTGTGTCTGTTTCTTTCTTTAGCAGACACTTCTGTGAAAGCTAGAGTAGGCAGGAAGGCAGTTGAGAGGCTGAACATGAGTCACAAGGAGACGTTTATCGTAAGTGTAGAGAGAGGGGGACACGAGCAGTCTCAAAAAAGCTTTTGGCAGCTGGGTAAAACCAATTTCAAAACAAAAAACATTTGAATGTACACACTAACTTGTTCTGATCAGTGTTCAGTGTTTACCTCTTGGTGAAGATTTATCTGACCGCTTTTTTGTTACTATTGTAATTTATGAGATCCATAGAAAAAGTGGAAGTCTTGCAAGCACTGTGAAAGTTACACACTGAAAATATTAGGAGGGCCATCTTGAAACCGGCCCCATGACTTGCCAGACCTCACGCCTCTGCCTGGTGCTGGGGAACGGGATGGCTTCCAGTCAGACAGGGAGCACAAAAAAAATGAGACTGATCTCTGCTGAAGGCAGTGGTTATAGTGCATATGGTGAGGCACCACACTGACTAGAGCAGGCTTGTGCAAAGCTGTTCCACTGAGTAATTTCAGACAACAAAGTTTACCAAGATCTATGGCCAGTTCACTTATAAAGAGCATTAAGAAAAAGATCCTCAGAACTAAACATGACTTAATGACTTTTGAACAGTTTTAGCTCAGAGGTGGCAGCCTTCACCACACTAGCCATACCTCTTCAGAGTGCCTTCAGCTGTTCCTGCTGCCTTCCTGAAATAAAGCAAGAGCCCTTCTAAATTGAGGGTATGTTTTGCTCTCCGTGGGAGAGAAGAAAGCCCTATCAAGTTTGAGCATATGGATGGACAATTCCCTGTGCTGCACAGGCGAAGGAACAGTGTGTTCCTGGCATCTCAGGCAGCCTTCCCTGCTTCGCACTGTGTAACTGCTGTTTGCCTCCTTGGGAGTTTGCAGAAAAGGTGCTTCCACTCAGCTTGCAGGGAATTCTCTCCATTAATTTTCAGTTATTTTGCTTTCTTATTTCTGGCATTTGCCATTGTTCCAAAAGTGAAAGATAAATTTAGCAATGTTTCTGGGCTCCCAAACCAACTAGAGACCAAGGAGGGGAACTCCTGTCCCTGATAAAGAGAGGCGGGCTGGGTATGCCAGCCCTGCGGGGAGAGGAGCGGGAGGGCAAGGCCGGTGGGGAGTGTCTCTCCGGGCTGCCGGCTGAGCCGAGTCATTCGGGGACGCTGGCTTGCCTCCAAGTTCTCTGGTTTGGTTGTTTGGCTTTTTTTTTTTTTTTTAACTCTTCATTTCTTGTATTTTTTCCAAGTCTGTAGGGCTTCATTGGTTATTGCTGTAGCTAATGGCACTGAGAGAAGAGAGCGTGTGCGTGTCCGTGAGAGCTAGAGGAAAAGCAAGGAAGGGACCGGTTTTGCCCTGGGAGTGGCAGGACCCTGGGGGACTAGAGCTTCTTTGTTTTCTTGCGACTCCAGTGTCTGTGTGGGAAGCTTTAAACAAAGCTGCCAAGTTTCCCTCCTCACTGCCAACAGGTCTGTCTCTGGATTGAGTTTTGAACAGGCTTAAATGCCTCTTACTCCTTGCAGAATGGTTTCTAATGTGTTTGAATTTTTTTCTTTCCTTAAAAGAAAGTGTGACAGCCTTGAAGAAAGTTTATATGACAGTAGGAATTAAGCTAATAGAACAAGTGATTACTTCCAGGACTGGCAAATATTTGTTTTTACAAAACACATAATGGGTTTTACTGATTTAGAACAACGGGTTTGGGTCTCTTCTGCTTTCCAGTGGTGCTGAACTAGTTAAGTAACATGTACACATCAGTCTGCCCATCTGTCAAATGGATAGGGTGATGGCTATCCACTTCACCAAGCAGTGGTGAAAGTACTCCCAAGTACACATGTCAGGTGCTGTAAACAGCTACCCCAGTAACTCCCAAATCTGTTTCCTAAGAAACAATAAAAAAGTTCTGCTATGGAGTGGAGCTCCTTCCATGTGCTGTATGACTAGATGAGCTGCTATTCAAGGGTGAACTGAAGGCTAAGAACAGTACTGCAGGCTAGAAGATACTGATGATAGTGCTAGAGATATTTGAATAGTGTAGTTTATGACCTGCTTTAGAAACTCGCTTGTCTTTGTCTGCTACTGTGCTGAGAAACTAAAGGCTTTGCTCTTCATGCTTAGAAGAAGGATAGGAAGGATCGTTGAACTTATGGTGTGGCAGAGAGATACAGGGCCTTCCAAGTGCTTTTGGGTCAAATCCAGCCCACGTTGGTAGGGACTGAAAGCTGCTACTGTTTTACAGTTGTTTGGTGCCCCATGTGAAATCCTTCCAATAGTTATAGCCAGATTGCAGTGCTCAAATGTCCAAAGCAAAAACCATAGTGCAGAGGAAGCTAATTATTCTATTTAAAGCAGAAGAAACAAGATGGTGCAGCCAAGGAAACAGCATCTGCCTTTTGTCCTTAGGCCCTTGCTCTGAGTACAGTGTCTTAGAATGAAGTCCTCTATTAGAACATAATGTGCAAAAGCAATCCATAGTTTGTTGTGTTTGTACACTAGCGGTTAAGCTTTCTCAGCCTTATGAATGCTTCAGCTTTATTAAATCGACAAACCCTTGAACCAGGCAGAAAACATTAGTCACCAAAATTTTTGCTGTTCTCTCCACCAGCTTTCAAACCCTTCCCCCTCCTCCTAGGTTTCTTTTCATGTTTATGTTTTCCAACCTACTCTCTCACTGGATGTCCTGGAGTTCAACATGATCCTCAGCCACAAAGCCCTTGAAGTTTTAATGTTTACCAGAAGGTTATATTTAGTGTCAGTGGGTAGATGTCAAGTCCAAATTCTTTTCCACTGAGGTTCCCGTGGACCTCAGAAACTGTGTTGTGATCCACAGATGGAGCACCCCATTTGTCCCAAGCTATACTGATCCCATTGATACAAAAATTTCACTGGCATACTAGTTTTAAACATCCTCTCCACTCCTGAGAAAATTCCTAAACAGAAAGGACTTTCAGAAAAATCAGATAAACCATTTACATGACAAAGTTCTCCTTCCTCTAAGCACGCTTTCAGCACAGGGTCACTAGGAAGGTCGGGAAATTCTCTGGAGTCACTGGAAACCAGTTTGTCTCTTTTGAGGCACCAGTAGGAAGAGAGAGACAGTACAGAGCTTAATAGCCATCTATAGTCTACAACCTCATAAAGTGTTGTCCAGGACCACTATGTTGTGAGGGGTTGTAGAAAGCCCCAGCTTATTGCATTATTCTGTGTATTTATATGTAGAGAAAAACTGACTGGATCTTGGGCAGGGATCACAAGAATCCTATGTATTGCAGCCCTCCCCCACCCCCCCCAATCACTGTGACCTCTCAAGGTTTTAGCCATCTTCATTAGCATGCCATCATGAACACATAGGAAGCACAAAATGAACCTTCATTTAATTCCACTGAAATGTCCTTTTAAACTTCTTAGTTCTACTCACTAAGCAGTACATCATAACACAGAAACAGCTTTTCAATCATCTGCAACTCCTTTCTTACTTCCTCTAAGAAAGTTTCAACATATTAAAAAATGAGTGAGTTTGAAAACATAAACTAACTTAATTTACAGCCCTGCCTAACTCTTCACCCTAACATGCAGTTCCAAAGAATAAAGTTATTATTTACAAGTATAGACCCTAAGCCTGGAACGAACAGTCTGTGTTCATCAAAGATAACAAATAAGCAGTATATATGCTATAAGTCTCTTAATGTTAAAATATTTGAAATGAGCATGGTGCATAAATTTCTTAAAAGAGTAAGCAGGTGTCAAAACTAATATTTTTCAAAAGGAGTTCAAGTCAGGAAGAAAGGCAGAACTACTCCTACTCACTCCTTTCACCTTACTGGTTCAGGATTGAATAATGGAATTCAGTTAATTCAGCTGCAAAAGAGTTAGGGTTAAATTGGTTGCATGGAGAATCCAGCTGGCTGACGACAACAGTGTTTACCACACACTTCAGTATTATTAGCTGCTAGAGAGAACTAAATCTGCTGATTGTTCTACAGGTTTTTCTGCAAAAGGCTTCCCTGCTCTTCCCTTCCCTTTCTTTCCCACTCCAGACTTTATGGATATCTTAATCATGCAGAAGTCACAGAAATAAAGCTTCTGATAACAATTAACAGAGTTTAGGTATTGTAGCTAGAAAGCCCTTAAAGTAAAGCTGTACTTATCATTGTCATAACTGTGATTGAGAGCAGATCTACTACGAAAAATACTCTGTCTTATTTTTCTCTCTTCACCGTTGTCTTTGAAACAGGTATAATCAGCATAGCTAAATATTCTCTGTCCATAATTTTCCCCCACTTTTACTCTGCTTGCTTTTGCTGAGTGAGGAGGGGAGAGGAAGATGACAATCTGTTTAAAAGACAAACGAGCATTGCTTTGAATCTGAGGGGACACACATGGTTGTGTTGTGTTGCACTGAAATACACTCAATAAACCAGGAAAAAAAAAAAGTACAGAAAGAAAATGAATCTGTTTGTGACTTCCACAATTCTTTGGAGATCACATTTTGCTGAGACCAAGACAGTTACTGAGTAAAGTCTA